CACAACCGCCCACAGTAAAAATGCCGCCCGTGGAGGCAATTTGCAATGCCACACCATCATCCAAGGGAATGAACTCTCCACAGGTCCCACGCATCTTGTAAAGATATGTTTTTCATTATATAAAAGATTTTCATTAAGAGTGATTTATCTAAAATTAGTAGTTTTAACACTCAACTTTGGATACTTGTAGGATTGGCAGACTTCCTACAACCTTGTATATTATTATTTTGTTTGATTTTTAATATTTGTCTATGAGAAGGTATACACAAAGTGCGGGAGACGTGCTATGCCAACCATGGTGATGGGATCTGCTGCAGTGTTTATTGATTGTGATGAATCTTGGAAGTTGTTGCTTGTGACAAGGAATGGGTCCTTATATGTATGGGATATTTTTAACAGGAAATGTCTCCTTCTCGATTCATTGGCTTCACTTATAACTCCAAACAGTCAGAGTGATAATTCTAAGGATGCTGGTAAGATATGAAGTCTGTTAATTTAGTGGTATTTAACCTTTTCAATTTTGCATATATTTAAAACTTCGCGCAATTGCTATCATTTACTTTCAAATTTTGCCCTTCGGTTAATGAATGAATTATCACTTCTTTTTTTTTTTCCAGGAAAAATCAAAGTCAAATCTGCAAAATTATCGAAATCTGGTTTTCCCCTTGTGGTTCTGGCTACACACAACGCCTACCTCTTCGATATGAGCCTCAAGTGTTGGCTGAGAGTTGCAGATGACCGCTTTTCTGCATCAAATTTCTCAAGCTCTTGGAACTTCAGTTCTGCTCATGGTGGTGAGCTGGCTGACTTGCAGATTGATGTCAGGAAATTTCTGGCCAGGAAACCAGGATGGAGCAGGTCTATATGCATCCTGACTCTTTGGGATTTTTGAAAATGATTCCTCAAAAATACAACTTTAGTGACAAAATGAAATCTTGTTATCTTACTTTAAAATTATTCCTTTTTCTGACATCCACCTAAGATCAAATATTTGCAGCCGGCTTTATGAACTATAATTCATGAATATCACGTGCTTTTACCTCTTATCCCTGGTCA